GCAGGTCACAAGCACGCACACACAGACAGACTTCGAAAACACAGCAGAATGCGGGAATCTCATCAAGGCATCCATTCCATCGGCAGAACTTCAGAAATCAGCAGTGTTCTCAATCTGTGTTTTGACGGGTCATTACATGCATGTTATCGACCCTTTCATTCTGAAGAAGAACAGGACTGACAAAAAATGAAGAAGAATGACGAGAAGAAGAAGAAGAAGAAGAAGAAGAAGACTGATAAGATGGAGAGGAAGAAGAAGAAGACTTACAGACTGACAACTTGCAGGAAATCTTTGAGTTCTTCAGCAGCATAATACACACACACACACACACACACACATGCAATGAATTGCAGTGAGATGCGGGCTGTACACTAATTTTGTTGCTGACTGTTTTGTGCTTTCCGGGATTCGATCCCGTGACTGGTATTGTGCATGTGTGTGTTTGTCTGTGTGTACACTAACTGTGTTTGTTGGTTCCTTGTTTTGGGCGTTGGAGGACTTGAACCCGTGACTTGTAGTGTGTTTGTGGTGTGTGACTGTTTTTGAGGTTTATTGGGCTTGAACCTTGAACCTGTCGCTAGTAGTCTCAACTTCGTAGTCTTAGGCCACTCAACCTTGTTGTTTTGTCCTTTTCTGCCCTTCTGGAAGGTATCTCTTTGTGTGTCCTAGCCTTGGGTTCCCTTAGTCTAGGATTCCATCTAGATGCATGTAGGTAGATCTTGACTGTTGGGCCGTAGATGTTTTCTGTTTGGACGGTCGGATAGGTCTGTACTACTCTGTAGGTGGTTACTGTGTTGTAGGTCTAAGGAAGTCAGGTAGAAGTAGGCAGGGGGCCAGGGGCCGACGAATTTCGGGTTCTGCTTCGTCATTTTATTTTTTTTCACGAAGTGCTGCTGGAGGTCGCGGCTGGAGCTGCGCTAATTCAAAGTGCCCATTCGTCTTCCTCGTTGAAGGGAAGCTGACGGCCATAACTGGGCTTACCTGGCTGGTGCGGAATTGGCCCAGGGACATCAGGCCCTGCTCTGCGTGGTGCTTCCTCCATAGCTGTCCTATTGGGGTTTCGGCAGCTGCCATGGAAGCAGCTTCTCTATGCCTGCTTCGAAGTGGCAGATCTTCATCTTCATCGATTTGCTGTTCTTATTCATCATCCTGGGAGCTGCGCTCCCCTGATGAGTGGACACTTCATCTGTAATGGGCTTCTTGGGTGGTGCAGAGGGGTGTTGGATTTAGGACGGTGTGTGGCGATTGGCAGGCTTGATAGGTTGGGTGCCCGCAGGCACCATAGCTAGAGCTTGAGGAAGAGGGAGGAAGAAGAAGACTCCCAAAGTATTCAATGAAATCTTGTAAATAATTGGTCCAAGGGTATTGATAACGTGGTTGGGATTCTTGGAACAAGTAGTCTGGATTGATTGGAGGAGGATGAGGGGTTGCAGAATTGAAATTCGTTTTTCAATTCTCTGTGTATTTTGAGCTTCCGCTGTGCATATCTCCTCTCTGGTTTTGTGTGGATTT